CTTTATAATCTTCTATGCAAAGTTACAAAAAGAATGAATATTAATTTATATAAGTCATTTATTTTATATAAAATTAAAAAAATTACTAGTAATATGATTAAAGAAAAAGTGCTTAGATTAAATAGTATTGGTATCAAATTTTCTAAAACTTTTTGACATATCTTTGAAAACAATTAAACATTAATGATCAACCAAATTTTAGGTAATGGCCAATTTTCCTATAGCATTGTGAAAGGCCATATTGCTCTCTAACATAAAAGTAATGGTAAAATTTTATTAAGCAATTAGAGGCCTATCATCTTAATTAATATCTCTTATAGAATGTATATTAAAATCATCTATTAATAGATTAAATTAATATTCATGAATATAATTCATTCTAGCTAATTTATATTCGTCTTTCTAATATTTATCTTAGACAAAATGCTACTTATTCAAAAAACTATAAATTGAGCTAAAACTTTAAAATTTAAATGTCTTTTCTTTCTATAAATTAATATTTTTAAACTTATGACATAGTTTAGTGGAGCTTTATATTCAAAGACTTAGAAAAAATTGGTTTTGATGCTTCTTTTCTTCATATAACTAAAACTAGTCTCTAAAACAAATATTGCAATTAGTATTAATAAAGATTTTTAAAAATATTTTTTAATAAAAAAAAGTATTAAATAAGATTGTTAATTTTTGGTATTTTTTTAAACTTACATGATGTTCAATAGTTCTTAATAAATAGAATGACACATAAACAAGACTATTGATTTCTATCAAAATCAATGTAGAAAATAAAGTTGTTATTATAAATAAGATTCTATTTTTATTATTATATTATTTTTAGCCATAGGGACCAAATTTATAAAGGCTATTTGTTAAATTAAAGATTATAAAGATAGTAGTCTTGATATCATTGATCTAAAAAAAATACCAAAGTACTTTGTCTAAATGGATAGTTGGAGCCTTTCAACCTAATTAAGTAAATATTTAATAATTTCTTAATTCTAGAATTATGAATCTTAAATAAATTGCTTATAAGACTTTGGTACCATACTATATTTAGTCACTTATCTTAAATCACAAATACAATACTAGGTCAAAAACTTGAAATAAAATTAGAAAAGTATAGACATAAATGTGGAATATCCTTTAACTTAATCTTCTAAATTCTTTTTATAATATTTAGAATCATTTCTTATGGTAGAATTTTTATATTTCGTTAATTAATATTTATTTATAATTCCATCAAGCTAAAATCTTATATTCATTGTATCAAAAATCTTTTTAAAAAATCAACACTTCCTTTCACTATAAAAAAATATTATCTATATATTAAAATTTACTCTATAAAAATCCATATTTAAAAATTCTTTTATACTTATTTTTTAGTTTTTAAAAATATCTATTATATTATGATAATTCTTTATTAAAATTCTAAGATTGAATTGGCTTAAATAAATATGTAATAGTCTATTTATTAAAAGTGGTATTTCAACTTCTTATTTAATTTGTCAATGATGCAAAAAAAAAATGGTTTTCTTTCTAAGTATTAACCACCATATATTTGTGCCATATAAGCTAGATGAATATAGCCTATTTATAATAATATTAATAAGACCAAATATCATTCTAATTAAACAAGAAGTTTTCATCTAATAGTGAAATCTATTTGGCAACTACTAAGATAGAAGTAGAAGTATTTCTTTGAAGAAATTTCTTGCCAAATTTGGCAAAAATGGTTTATGCCATGGCAAAATCAATTCTTGTATTAAAATTATTGTTTTTTGTATTATCTAAAAAAACCAAGATCTACTTTCTATTGATTTTGGAAATGTCATCAAACTTATAACATCTAAAATTCGGCCACCTTTTTTCTATATTCATTAACATCAAAGTCCTGAACATGAAAATTGTAGAAATCCTTTACTTAGAATTAAACCATGTTTGCTTAAGTTATATCTTCTCTATTTAAGTGTTTTGCAAAATATGGTCTTTATTAAGAAGACTTTGTCTATAGACAATTTAGAATTTTTTTTTAAATATTTCTATTTAAAAATAGAGTTTGAAATAAAGTCTATACTAAAAACCTGATTCAAAAAGGATTAATTAAGTAAAGACAAATTAATTAGAAGTTTATAAAAAAAACTAAAAAAATCTAAAATGTGAAACTATTATTTTTAAGAAATAGGTTAAATTATTGATGACAAAACACATATTAGGTTCTAGATTGGACTAGGACATAAAATCAAGCTTTAGAATATCTTAGTTTAGTGTGATCTTATACAAAAGTGTAAATTAAATTAATTCTAGTAGCTATTTAATTATCTTAATACTTTTATTTCTACTTTTTTGATATAAGGAGCTATATAGTCTAGTGTGCTTTTATCATTTCATTAATGCATTAACTATACCTCATTTTATATCATAAAAATAGAATAAGATAAATCTCAATTAATTATTCAAGTGTTTGACATATTGATTTATCAAGGTATCAAGCTACAAAATAATCTATCTATAGAAATAGTCTAAAATGGATTCATATCCACATTGTAGTAAGTATGTGTGGCAAAATATCATGCAATCTAATAGAAATTCATTTGCCCTATACATAATGATATTATTCATATAATCAAGGTGTTACAACATTAAAATATTATTTTACGTAATCAAGATGTTCCAATAGCAAAGTATAAATGATATTATTTTTTAAAAAGATTATTAGTTTTTAAACATTAGTTTAAGTATATGTCATTTGTAAGCAATATAAATTTTATAGAATTAGTTTTAAATTATTCTTTCTAAACAACCTTATGCCAAATCTTACTAAGTATGTTTTGTTTTTAAATTTTTTGTCACAAACAAGAAAAATAACTAAAGATGTGCTATTGTAGTAAAGTAAAATTTATAAGTGTATGTATTACTATTTAAAACTAATATTGGATAAACTATAAATAAGTATACTACACAAATGAATTTTTGTGTCAGTTAATTAAACTATTTCTTCTATATTTTATAATTTAATATATAGTTCATATTTTATTCTACTATCTAAGAAAGATTGTAAAACAAATTAAGATGTTCATAATTGTTTTTCTTAAGTTTATGTCATGTGATCCGATCCAATTGTAATTTCTAGTATTGGTCTAAATTAAATATCTTAAATAGGCATTTCTTTAAAAAATAATTATTATATTTATTATTATATTTATTTATTATATTTTTATTGTTCATATATGCATAACACAATATTATAGTATGTAAAAATAGATTTTCAAAATTGGTTTTAGATATTAGAGCCTTTATAGAGCCTTTTTAGATCCCTTCTTCAAATTAAAAACTATGCACTTTTGCTGTTTTTATTGTTTTTTAATATTTCTCTCTTTTCATTGCAACCATAATATTATTGTTCTTCTATTTTGTAATTGGAATTACTCTACTTCTTCCTTATTATAAACATATGTAGTGTACATATAATCCTATTTTTGTAGCTTTAAATCCAACTCTAATACTAGTCATCAATTTAGTTGTTATAACAAGCCTTCAATCTCTTTGTTTTAATTTTGCAAACATTGAAATAATATGTACATTTTGTGCATCTTATACTTTGTCTAGATTATATTCGTTTGTTGCAATCAAACACAATGAAACTAACTGAACCACTTCTAGCCACCTTTTTTTTTATTGATACTTTGTCTCCTAGAAATTACAGCTTAACAATGTAGAATAAATCAAACTTCAATAAATTTTTGTCATTTTTGTTATCTTTGCCATTTTTTAACATAGTTTAAAATTTTTTCACGAATACATATGTAATGTAATTTATAATACATATTATCTTAAAAAAAATTAGCAACTAAATATATATTAAAATTAAAAATTCCTTCTTTTTTGTAGTATTTTCTAAAACATTAGAAGTTCAATTAATTTATTAATTCAAACATGATTCCAACAAAAGTGTTTATTTTAAAAGTTAAAAAGATATTTATACAAATTAAAGTTACATCTGCATAATAAAAAAAAAAAAAAGGATACTTTTATGTGCAAGAAATAAAGTAAAATGTATTTAAAATGATTATTTGATTAGTAAAAATTATAATAAAATAATACTGAATTTCATTAAATATAATCTATTTAAAATTAAATTAAAAAAACTAACAATCAAAAACTAAAAAGTAGTTAGAGGCGTCATTTTAAAAAAAAAAAAATAATAATGTAAACTGATCTATTTTATAAATCTACTGTCCATATTTTACATTATTATAAATTATCACAATAATGTAATAATCTATAATAACGTTTTCTAAAAAGATCATATTAAAAATGAATCAAGCCAAATATAAAGTGGCAAAGGATGCATGACATTGTGTTTATATATATTTTTAAAATTGCACAAAGATTATTTTATTACATAAGAATCAGAGGAAGTGTCAGAATCATTAAGAATAATAATAATAATAATAATAACCTTATTAAAACTATGAATATATTTAATATGTATAAATGATACAAAACTAATTTCTTTTAATGCATTACAAATAAAGAAGAACACTGATTAAAAATTCAAATTAATAATAAAATCACTGATGATAATAGTTTTTTATTTTTTATTTTTTAAATGATATTTTTATTAAATTAAATTAAATTAAAGATAATATATCATTTTAGGAGGTAGAAAAGCACAAAGATGAAACAAACCTATACAACATTTTATGTGATTAATTTCAAAAGTATTTAATTTCATTAATAGAGTGAAAAAAATTTTACACTAGGAGAATCATCAAATTCCAACTTTACCCCTCACCACACACAATCCTCATCTCTAAAGTACAAATGCGTTTGTAGCAAATTTAGTGTAAAATCTCCAAAGTCCATTTACTTAGTAATGAAACAAAGTTATCCTTGCAATTCAAATTCATCACGAACTAACTGAGCCACTTATTTTCTCATACAAAGATTTCTTTCACACATTTTCCTATCCAGCGCCTACTGTTTCACATCCCAAAACCATGTGAGTTTAAAAAAATCATATATATATATTGTAAAAATGTCTCATATATTGTGATATATGCAGTACCTCTCACTTTAAAAGCCATCGCAAACACTATCTACCAAAATCCAATGTACTCTCCGGAAACAATGTGGAGGCATTCAATGGACTGAACTATCAATCCATCTCTCTCTCTCTCTCTCTCTCTGTGCACACAATTCGGCACGCATCTTTCGATTCATGCCGTCGGTGACGACGTCGGCGAATGGAGGACGATATTCACGGCACGACGAATGCGTCCCAGACACGAAACTAGCTGCTCTGCTCTCGTATGAGAACAACAAAGCAGCGTGCCAAGAGGAAAGAAGATGACAATCTGTGGCGAAAAAACACGTTGAAGCTCATTGCTCATGTGAGCTCGTCTGAGTGAGCCTGGAGCACGCACCGCACCCTCCACAATGACTAGATTTCCATCGCTAGCGCTGATGGTGGCAGCCTCGTGCCTTTGCGCCACTCGCAAGAGCCTGCACCAACGTTGAAGAGCTTGCAACAAGAGTTGTTCAAAATTGGATGCCTAGATGGGACCTGAAACTCGGCACTCGGAAACCGATGACTCGCAGTTTGTTGTGTCTACTTCGGCCAAAGATGCGGGGTTTTGTTCATGCTGGTGCAAGAACAGCGGTCGCGCTCTACGCTCTTTCCAATTGTTTGTGGCCCACGCCCAAACTATCGGCGCACAGTTGACAAGCACTGCAGTTCACTGGGCTCTTACCCGACTGCGTGTTCTGGGAATTCCTGCTCGATGTTGTGAGGGTTGCAGAGGATAGAACGAAGAATCTACTTAGAGGTTAGAGTAGGAACTTGACTTGAAGTGGAATCGGACCTGAGGCAGTGTCTAAAGATCTGTTGAAGTCAGCGTTTTACTCAAACCTTCTTGCACGTCGGGGCTCGAAGCACCGTAGCGGAGGTGGTTGCGGTTGGAGGTTTGATGTTAACATCGCAGTTGACTTTTACAGTGTAGCTGGGAGTCGTGATGGCGCCAATCTTGAGGTTAAATCTGGCACGCACGTGCAAAAGCAGAGGAATATCTCCTGTTGCGATGTGTCCTTGAAGCGTGGCACCTGTGGTTGGGTCCAAGATGAGTCCCTTTGTGGCGATAGTGACCGGGAACCTCGTGATGTTGCGGTGACCATGGTAATATCCAGCGGCGACGGGAGTGGTACCCAAGAACTGAGACTGGTATTGGGTGTCGATGTCGACCGACTCATACTTGATGCCGATCTTGCCATTCGGATTGTCGGCTTTGATTATGAAACTGACCTGAGAATCAAGGCTTCGCGGAGTAGGATTGTAGACAAATGCGCCGACTCTGAAGTCCTCCACGTCGTACTTCGGCGTGTGAATGGGCCGCAAGACGAGCCACAATATCAGTGCTGTAATCCCCAAGACGATCGCGGCCGTGATGAGCATCGAAATGCAGCCAGTGAGGCAGCAGCAAAAGATGGTCCAGCATGCGCTATGGCTCTTTTTAAGTTTGCTAGTGGTAGGTGGAGGCAGTGGAGTTGTGTTCGTCTGGTGAAGCCTCGTGAAGTGGAAGGGCTTTGGGGAACTGGAGTAAGTCCTAGAGAAACCGCTGTTTGAGAATGTCCTCGATATGTTACTCATAAATTTGGTCGCCATGGTTGCCTACTCGTCCTGATTCTACTTCTACCCTGTTAAACCCAAACCGTGTAATATACTGCCCTAACGTCTTGTCCTCTCAAGGAGCCACCCTGCGCATATCTTATAACCCTCACGTCGAAGACGCAACACCACAAACTTTATCACCAGGTTTCGATATCCGTCTCGAATTTCCCTCCGACAACGCAACGGAATCGCCAGACAACAAGAAGGAGACCTCCGAAACGCCAGAAAACAAGAAGAAGACGTACTAGAAGAAGTAGTAGTAGTAGGAGACACCAGTTGCTGCAAACGCAATACTGAGCAGGATGCAAAAATAAATGGTGCTCCAAGCGAGCACACTGTACTAGTATACAAAGAACGACACGCTGCAGTACGCGGTCCACCTAACACACAACACGCTTGCCTAGTCGTCAACTTGTAACGCTGGGAACAGTCGGTAATGGTGCGGAACAGTGGAAGATACTCCAACCCCATGCCGAACACTCAAGGAAACTGTAAGTCAATGAAGTCGTCCACGAAACCCCCTCTTCCCCCCACCCCCACGAGCCGAGCCAATTCCGCCATGCGGGGGCCACACGGTATGATTCCAGCTGCATAAAGCGGGCAGTATCCTGATCAGGAGCTGACGGAGACGTATGCGTCGACATCGTCAGTCATTGTTCGGCGGTTGTCACTTGAAACACGAAGCCCGGTCTCGATTTGACAATTCAGTCTCACCGCGTCCACTCCCCTCCCCCTCGATGACGCTGTGGGACTCAGGGACGTTTCCTGCTTATATTTGTTTATGCATGAGATCCATATCTCATAGTCTTCATGGTAGATATTTGTTATTTTCTTTTTCTTTGTTGAAACTTTTGCAAATAAAGGCATGACTCTCAGCTTAAAAATAAACGGCGTCGATCGAAAGCATTGCTTGTACCATTTTAACCTTTCGGTATCGATATCAATACACACGCACAAATATATGTATATATATATATATATATATATATATTTCTACGTATATATTCAGATGCAACATATTTTGTCGATTGGGTTCAGATTCCGAATCTAACATGCAAAGCACCGTCCTGGTGTTGGCTCTTTCGGGCTGAATTGACTGGTTGCATTTAACAATTTGACTAATTCTTCGACCACCATCTTCACCTCTTCTCCTGTAGCTCGTGGGGTTTGAGCATATTCTAGGAGGAGTTTCTGAGGATCTTCGCTGAAACCAATTGGGCAACTCTTGACCTGCAGTAGGCGGTACAAGTGGCTCCTAACAAGAACAAGGGAAATAAACAAAAAACAATTACAAAAAAAATATACAAAAAAATGAAACCAACCAACCAAAAACATTAATCATGCGTATGTATGTACGTATGTATGAAAAACTGAGTCAAAGTTCCTATACCATTTATTTGCTTTAGGGCACTTGTGTTATCGATTTAAACGATTTTGGAGTTCTTCTTCTTCTCTTTTTCTCTTCAAGGATAGTAAAAGATGATGAAATATCTCATATTAAGATATTCAAATATTATATGTTGTCATTCTCAATCTTTTTGATTTCATTAAGTATGACTTGTTGTTTCATTTTTAATTAATTTTTGAACTATTCAAAATCTAAGATCCTTATTTTAGATCAAATAATACTTTAAATCAATTTTTAAATTTAAATATTATTTATGAATTTTACTTGTTACTTGATTCACTCCCTTTTTCTAAAAAATATTTTGTACATATAATTATTATGTTTGTATGTATGGTTTCTTTAACATGCACAATCCACAATAATGCTAAATAATCATGTGTATTCTACATAAGTCAAAGAATAGCACCATTTTTTTGTTTCAAATTTATAAAATTTAATTATAACGAGTTATTTATATTCTTTTCACATGTTTCAAATACAAATATTAAGTTTGACCCATTTAAAAAAAAAAAAAAAAAAAAAAAAAAAAAAAAAAAACACACTTAGTGATTGCAAATCAGAAACTAAAATAAATAAAAATAAAATAAACAATAACTATTTATTCATATGTGCTCTCTTGTTGATATTATTTATTTTAATATAGATTTTTTTATAATCGTTATATTTTATTTTATTTTTGTATAAGATATTGAAATAACTTACAATTATTTTATATTATTTTCACCAAACTATAAAACTTCAAATTTGAATTGTATACAATACTTCATATTTCAAACTCAAATTCGAATTGTAGTCTTTTTTATTTTAACTTAGAACGGTCAATTAATTAATTGGTTTGTTTATTCACAGTAAACCAGAACACTTACAATCATCAAAATCACTCATTAGTTGCTTTTAGATCCCCAAATTTTAAAAAATCTATAACCTCAAAAGAAAAAAGATGTCAAAGGTCGATGTGAATTTTATAGACCAATGTGTATTCTCCAAAAATAAAAAAATCCTCTACCCATTCTGGTCCTTTGAGGAACTAATAGAATTAACGCAAGAAAAATAGAATTCTAGTGATCACAAAGAATCTACGATCTCCTAGCTTTCAAGGTAACGACATCTCGCCTGATCAGCGGTTGTGAAAAGAGTCATGAAGCTTTTATGAGAAAGACAAATTCTTGGCATCAATGGAAGAATGCACTGCCTGCCGCGACAGTTAGAAGTGACCCATCTGTGAAAGCAACCCAAACACAGACAATAATTTCGTTAAAGACTGCTTGCTGGGTCAAACACACTCACTTTGTGATCAATCACTCCAGTTGAATTTGGTGTTCAACTATAGTCGTTCCCTAGAAGTAGCAGAAGCCTGCAGAGTGTCAAGAAATTCAAAATCTATGAGCTGCTCTACATCAGGAGTCAACACCCAGAATACTGTACATCACGCCCTGCAGACTAAACAAGAGGAATGAAGCCTAACTCCGCCTTCGATACGTAAATGAATTTGAACGATAAATTGGAATACAATCTTTAAAATGTAGAATCAACGGAGAAGGGCTTGACAAACTTCCCTCCCAGGAATGGATTTCACATTTTGGTTGACCAAATTACTGTGGACTCCTATTGCCAGGCAGCCCCAATGTCATTCATCAGAGGAGGGACTCAACGAATTCTTGGACATCGAAGGAATCAGCCAGGCTTTGAACTACATCTCAGCTTTTCAATTATTTTCCTATCATGACCAACGTTTGATATTCTGCATCAGCATTCGAGTGATGGTTTGGAGATCAGACTGCGGATGCAGTTTCTGTGAAGATCAAAATGAACGTCTGCCAGGGGAACAATTCCATATGTTCACAAGAATCCTCTTCAGCTAAGTGCTACTGGATGAATGAAACATGTTTATATTACATACTGTACTGATAACCTTCATACGCAGCCTCAGCCAACCTAAGGAGTTAGCTATGATACAGAATCTAATCTTTTATTCACTGCGTCATGAAATGCTCCTTTCGTTTCCATCCTGTCATTTGATAGTAGATCCTGGTGACTATGGAACATCGTGCTACATAATAACTGTCAGAACTATCAACTTTGATTTATCCTGTCTTGGTTGCACATTATGAAGTCTCGATGCCGCAGAAATGGAATAAAACCAAGAGAGAAACTGATCCCTGTTCCAGCGGTTCTGGAATACAAAGCACGCTCTAGGCTTTAAACTCTGAAGATGGTTCAACTTTTGGGAACACATTCGAGTCCAAAGGTTCGCCTGCTTTCAAATTTTGTAACTCCAACCCAGCATTCAACCACACATAATGCATTGTCCCTGCAATTGTTACGATAAATCGCTCATTCTTACGTAACACCAATTTAAGCTTTCTCGTATGAAATAATAGGAATCGGCTTCGAATTGCTCCTATGTTCAAAGTATCTGATTCTAGGATCCTAACAAAAAAAAAACCTTCCGAGATCCAAGTAAGCAATACAATCAACCATCCCAATTCGACATCTAAAACAATGTAATTTACGATATCAAGGTCAACACTGGGACATAGCAAATTAAATCATACTGGAATAAAATTACCTCAAAAAGAAACAACTCAAAGGTAAAGAGCAGATCAATACCAGGGCGAGGATCAAATCGAACATCTTCCCCAAACCAGCGAGTGGCATATGCTCTACGCCGTCCACTTTGTGAAGAGATACCAGGAGCACCATGAACAGCAAAGCTATGGTGCACTAAACAGTCACCAGGATCCATATCCCAGGTCAACAGCTCAAACTTGAATCCCACATTATTTTCAAAATCAGTTCGTAAACCCATCACGCTTTTCAAGTACATAATACGCATAACCCTTCTAACTGACAGAATGTATACTTCTTAAGCAACTCATCTCAAGTTCAGTTTCCGTGATTTCAAAGACAGCGTCGTCATAACAATCAAGAACTTACAACATGACTGAATGAGCATTGAAGTCATTATAAGATAATGATGATAATACTGTGAGACTTAATTAGTAAATTGTGTGTGTGATTCAGTAAGATCGTTATTGAAAGATGCAGGGAAGATAGTACTGAGTTATACATGTCCAAAAGTACCTCGTCACGTCTATTTTCAATATCTGGAGCATCAGGTAGGGCAGCGGACTCTTTGTAGCGCTGCTCATCACCTGAGAATGAGGCAATCCTAATTAAAAATGCGGTATCACAAGCGTCAGTATTGCAGAATTAAAAAGAATCTCACGTTTCAACAAAAGCTGCAACATGAACAATGGATAAAATCAATGCAGTCAAATAATGGTAAAAACAACACGCTGTAATCCCACAGTTATGTTTCATAGCGTGGTCGGGAAATTTGAAAGGTGTTACGATTGACCGTGACAACGAAGCTTGCAAAAACATATACAGGTTTAAGAACGTCTAGACAATGTGTTCAGGAACTTGCTTGTGAAAAAGCTGCCACTTGTGCGATCCTTTGACATACTTGACACAGGAGGATTTCGGGACGGGATCCAATGCCAGCCACAAAGAGACGACTTGATTACCCTTCAGTTGCCAGTAGCTGTGATCATTGTGCCAAGGGGTGGCCTTGCGTGTGCCAGGCTCCTTCACAAATAGTTGATCATAAAATAACTGGACCTTCTCTCCCCTGCATCAAGTTCTTCCCCATTAGTGATCAATCCATCAACCGAGGTTCAAATTGAAGCTGTAGAACTAGAGTACTATCGATATGTAAAATTAAAAATTCTCAGCTGCATTAAGCACATACGAATAGAACCAGGACTAAAATATTATTCAAATGAACTTTACTCATCAGTTTAACAAGTTTCAATTCAAATTGCACGCCATTTGATGCTCCACAGCATTTCAGATAGGATTGGTTGGCTGGTAGATGAGATCTGCTAGTAAAATGAATGCATTGGCTGCTACATATTAACTGGTGTGACAAAAAGAGCACTAAAATCATCCTAGTGCTGCTGTTTCAAAAAGACGAACGATGAAAAGAAAGTGGCCAACCGCATCATTTGTCGTGCTATTTCGGCGGCAGGAGACTCGTAGATGAAGCGCCGCATCGTCTCATGCCGTCTCCAAAGAAACTGATCATCATGAAAGCGTCCTGGCTGACCACATTACCCGTACTCCATACATCAAGCTAGCTACAAGCTTCAAACGGTCCGTGGGCAGAGATCGTAAGCGTAATGAGGTTTGAAATTACAAGCTATCCGATTCGATCTATGCCACTGCACTTCGGCGATCCACTTGATGAAATTCTATAAGTTAGAATTTGAACCTAGTATGACAGAAACATGAACGTGATGCAAGGAATGAGAATGCCACCTCGCCTGGTTTTACGTGTTCGTCACATAGTATGCCTGCAAAGAAGTCGAAAGATTGACGGTCAGGGGCTATGCCTTTCAGGTAGAATTGGTTGGCTGGCAGATGAAATCTCACAACGATGTCTACGCGGAGACACTAACTCCAATGAAACAGTAATTTCCATTCGAAATCATATCACATAAACGCAATACAACCTGGATTTTTCATGTTTTCTTCGGCCGCAGCGCGAAGTTGATCGATCCACTCAGGCGGGAAAAGTTGACGCACCACAGTGGCCCCATCCTCCTCAAAACGCCGAATCTCTTCCTCAGAAATACTGTCATATGTTCCAGACACTGTTCGTTACGCAAAAGCCTAATTCTGTTCAAGATTCTATAACCTCACGACAACAACGCTCACTCTAGAATCCGTTAAGTTTGATCAGTTAAGCAATGTTCACTTCACTCCATAGCCGCAAATAAATCATCACAAATTCATTCAAATCGTAAGCATTTCGATATATTCCTCAATTTCACTCCAATAACTTAAAAGAGAATCCTTCGACCTTGCTCTAATCTCCAGCCATTGGTTGTACACCTAAAGCGTGACACCTATGTTCATCGTAGTTGGTCACCAAAAAAATTTGAAAACTCGAAAAAAAGATTTACTAAACACTTTCAATTACGCTTGCGACCTCTAACACCACATTCTATTCGATCAGCCTTACCACAGAATCTCGCCACAAGAAAAAAAAATGCGCCAAAACTTCCTGCAAAATCCTCCTAAAAGCGACGAAACGAAATCGAGAGCACGGGGCGCTTACGAGTTTGAAAACGACGATGAGAAGGCGCGAATAGACAGCGTACTTCGCCTAAACGCCCCTTGTTCAGTCAAACCACGCCATAGCACACTCGTGAGCGACAACGCCATCGCTCTCCTCCTCCTCCACCGCCTCCGCTTCCTACACCTTTGTCTAAGAAATCACCGAATATCATCGAATTTGAACATGGAACAACACCCCTATTTGGCATAAATCCTCAGAAGCCTGGCGCAGACAGGACTCACACAGCGACACTGTGCGATCGATGAGCATGAGCGTTTTCGGCATGGAATCTGGCAGAAAAGAACGATTCGGCTCCCTTTGGTCCCCACACTTCCTTTTCGTTGAGACCTCGACGAAGGGTTTCTTCATCGTCGAGATGGAAACGGAAAGCTATCGGACGTCAACTTTGAGGACGTAAGAACTTGTCGTCCAACACTTTCGTTGTTTACCGAAAAACTACAATGGAACAAAGGCATTTTGATTCGCCGAGGAATGGCTTTGTTTGAGCATGTTTAAAATAAATCATTGGTGCAAATATAACAAAAAATTTGTAATTAACTATGTAGTTTTTTTGTACCTGGGGACTGTGAAATATTGATCAAAATCTAAACTTAATTTTCTTAGAAAAGGAGAATTCTAAAAAGAAAAAAAGAAAAAAGAAATAAACATTATATTGACTTGTGTATAAATAAATTGTAATAAATAATTAATTTTTTATAAATTTTATAAAATTTAATTTAATTTTTTTTACAATAGAAATTATATATATATATATATATATATATATATATATATTCATATCATAGTCTTTGGATCTGAAAGTAGAAAAATATATTTTTAAAATTATCATTATAAATTTAAAAAATTATTAATTTTTTATAATTAAAATATTATAAATATATATATATATATATATATATATATATATATATTAGAACCATTTAGTATTATATATAATTATATGATGTAATGGGATATGGATAAGATATTCGTATTGTTGATGCATAGAGATAGGTAGTTGGAGTCATGTTTGAGAAGTTTCTAGAAGTTTCTAGAATTGGAATTAGGTTGGTGGTTTATATGGGACCTACCATAGAACTTTCTAGAAAGGGCTTAGGATAGTTAACTAGGTGGAACTCACTATTAGGAACATTCTAAAAAGCTCTAAGATAGTTGGATAAAGTATAAATAGGACTAACTAAGATCATTAGGATATTTGGTTAGATATAGCTTTGATCTCTTTCTCTTACAAAAATTTGGTTTTGCACTTTTTTGTTTAATTTAGTTATATTTTCTTTTACTTTGTTCTACCTTTCATAATCTATTTTGTTTAGGTTTGTTTAGTTTTGTTCTGTTCTATGCTATTCTACATTGTGACGAGATTCATATTGCTATGGATTGAAAGGATCATAGATCTTAGAGATAATTCAATCTTGTTTCATATGATGTTTTATCAAATGCTTTAAGTGCAAAACTTTAGAATTAGTAATTTTTAAAAAAATTCATTGTCTTTACAAATTAAATTCAACAAGAAAATCAAATTAATAAAATCTTTAAAATCTATTTATATATCATTTTTTTAGTAAAATGATTTAATTTAGTATTTTATAAAATATATCTAAATTTTAATATATATATATGATTTTATTTAAGGTATAAAGACAAGAGTCAAGAAATTGATAATTATAAGGAGATACGTCTCTAAATTTGTAATAAGATTGTATATAAGAGTGTAAGCCAAAACAATTTAGGATTATATTGCAAAATACCTTTTTTATCTTATAGAAACTTCTAAATGAAGCTTTAAGGTTAAAAAAACATTCTAGAATTCTAAAAAATCTTCTATGATTTTTTTTGAAAAATTAAAAAATATTTTATATAACTTTTAACAATTATATAATTTTTTGAATGCTAAAAAAAGACTAAAAAAGCTTCTAGAATCTTCTATAGATTTATTGATAGTAATAAAAATACTCCAAAAGTCTTAAAAGGTTTAAAATTATTTCTTTGGTCCTTTAAGGCATGACATTTTGTTAGTTTGAAATAGATTTTAAAAATTCTAATATTAATAGTTATTTTATTTTTCTATTATATAGATATGTTGATATTGTTGTATGCATTAATTTTTAAAATTTTTAATATTATTTTTTATAATTTTGAATATTAATCTTTAAAATTAATTATATTATTTTATAAGTAAATGAATCAATTTTTTTATCTACTATATTTAAAATATCTACTCTTATTTAAAATAATTATTATTTTAAATAGTAAATTTATTTTATATTTATCATCAAATAAAATATATTAATTATTTTTAAATCATAATAAATTATTTAATTAATATTTGATTTAAATATAAAGTAAAAATATTCAATTTTAATGGCTTATTGATTATACAATATATTATACATAAAATACTTATTTTTTGATATGCAAATTATAGTTAACAATCTTTTGAATAATATAATTAAATATCTTTGACCATTATTGAAAGTATTTTTGGAAGGAATCTTCTTTATAGAAAACAAGCTATTATTGTGTATTTAATAAAATAATTTATCTTAACCATTGTTAATTCTTCATTAATGATTATTCCTTTTATTTTTGTTTAAATGTTTTTGAAGTACCATAGTTCTTTTCACACTTCGTCAAAAAATATCTCACTAGTAACCATTCTAATTTTGTGATAAAATAACATGTTTTATTTAAATTAAATATATTTACATATAAAATATTCTTATATTTTTATCTAAAGAAAACTTAGTATCTATCATTAATAGGTCTTTTTAATGCATATTACTATTGAAACATAGCCAATTCACAATTATGTACTAAAAATCTAAATTCTTAATCCTAACTTTATTAAGAAGGGTCATAAGGAGGTTTGAAGTATGTCAAAAAAATATAAAACTTGTGGGATTTAATTTACCTACATAACCTCACAAGTATTCCATCTTGCTTTTCATTACCAAATATTACCACCTCAAATTAAATATCCAACTAGAAAAAAATCCTATTCCTACAAAGTCACCTTTCATTGTTGGCCTACTTCTTTTTGGCATCAAAAAAGGTACTATGCTTTGCTCATGCCTTGACGTGCTGCAACTTCATGTATGTTGTGATGTTATTTTAAGGCATCTTACAAACTAAGGTATTTATCCAAAAAATCCTAATTTAAAATGGCATAGTTGTGATAGTCATTAGATACCTAGAAAATGCATGTTAAGATTGCCAATTTTCATGATATTGCTTGTCATGAGGTTTTTCTATAAGAAATTCCATATTGCGGTTTTTATTTATCATCACCACTTGTTCTAATATAATGTGATCATAACGTCACAGCTCATCTAAAGATTAATTGAGTTCTTATCAAATATGGAAACTTACCAATTCAAAATAGTTTCAAGGAGTAGCATGTGTCATGGACATATATATTTACTTTAATAATTACTAAGATAATATAAATAGTTAGAAATAAATAAAAGTAGATTAATTTTATAATATCTTCTAAAAAAACTTCTTAGGAGCTTTATACATATAATTGCATCTTTATACATGTTTAAAAGTGATTGATAGATTATAAATTTGGCCAAAAAATTAGCCACATGATGCATGTGTTTGTAGCTTGTGATAAAAACTAATGATGTGGCATATTATAAAAGGGGTAGAAATTTGTTTTTGTAAGATATTGGTAAAGTAGATTAATCTTTCTTAGGATAGTCGATTCAGTAAGACGATGATTGAATTAGTTGTGAAAAACAGTTAAGTAGGGAATGACGGTTAGAATTTGGAATTTTAGAAGTAAAGCATAAGTACGTTGAAGAAGATATAGTAAAGACAGATTGTGATAGTCATGAGCCAACATAAGCTTGGTGCTACATCTTTATTTTTTTTGTTGTTGAAGAGTAATGGATAGTTTTTGAATACTGAGAAGTGACTCTCTGGAATAAATCAAAGATTGATTTATGAGTTATTGATTATGTAATTGGAATACTGTGTGATTGAATTATATGAGAAGTTATTAGAAGATTGATTATGGATGGAAGATTATAATTGTTGTTTATTGAGAGTTGTGTGTATTTTGACAAAGGAAGTTTGTGATTATAGAAATGGTGTGAATCCAGATTGGTTAAAATGAAGTTTGTTATTTTTTGTGTTGGATGGAATTTATGTATTTTGAGCGATCTTTTGGGAGTACAAGGTTGCACCTTGTTGTTATAACTTGTTGAAGGAGTGTTATTACTAAGAGAAAGCATTGTAGTATTTCTTGGTGTTTTAGTAGTTTGGATTAAGATGAATTGTGTGATCCTAATGTGTAAGCTCATGCAATACTCTTTCCTTGTATTCGAATACCCCTCTACAGATTTATTCTGAAAAGAATTTATAAAATAAATAAAATGATAATCACATTTTGGCACCGCTGCCAAAGATCGATAATAATATTGAGCATTAGGAATTAACGGCCAAACAAGTAGTTTTGGATGTTACGTGAAGAGGTTATAAAATTGAAATTAGTTTGAAAGTGAAGAGAATTGTATAGTTAGATGGAAGATAGGAAGCAAATTGAGCAGTATATCATGAAAGATTATGATTATTAAGAATGAAAATATTACAATAAAGAAAACATGCTAGTCAAAGGAAAGACAAGAGAGAGTATAAGCAAGAGAATTGTTGCAAAACGAGCAAGAACGTAAGTTAAAAAGAAAGTGTTGATAAAATTAGATTAAGCCATGGTTGCATGCCTATCGGCATATCTGAGCATATCTAGAAGGTGATCGATCTCTAATATTTTAAACATATTTACCATTAAAAAAATTACCAAGAGTACTTGCGGACAATTTTGTCCATAGCCCAGCATATCTCTTGAGCTTGTTAACTATAAATGGAGGAAATACAAAAAAATTGGATATTCCATTAAGTACCTTCCTAATAGTGGAAATTGTGGATTCTATTAAAATTGGTTCAATAGAATGGCAGAAATTCCTTGCCAATATGGGCCAATTCTGCATATTTTAAAATTTGTCATTTTCATCTCTAATTCAACTAATAAACTTATTCAAGGATACTAATAATAAATTGAGGAGGTCAAAAAGTTTGAAAAAGATAATTGGAGAAGCCAATGGTAATTTTAATAAGAGATTAAGCAGCATATTATCCTCTTCAATGATGACGAGTGGTCCAATAGTTCTAATAGTAGTCCAAATAGGTGACGTAGGTGATTGCACAACTAGAGTGGCTCCATTACCTA